GATTAGGAATAGGATCGGGTCATGTTAAATATAGGTTTAATATATTTTGGGAAAGAATATTGAATAAAAGTGGATTATCGATTGTCTTGAATACATGAATTTACTAGATTAAAAATTAAGAGTTGGATTAAATGGCAATAGGGTGATTCATGATTCCAATACTAATATTCACATATTAAATAAATATTTTATTTGTTTTCTTAGTTTAAGATTAGCATAGAAAACATAAAAATCACAACTATTTTGATTTTATATTACTTCGAATTTAGTAAAAGTTACTTAACTAAATATTAGACCTTATTTCTCGTGAGAACGATACTCTTAACTCACAAATTTTATTACTTGTACAACGATCTCGTACGTTTGCGGGTTTCACACGAACACTTACACTTCTAATTGGACCAACGTTGCATTGTAGTAGTTTATGACCTCTGGGTGCACTGATCAATAGTTATATAATCTTCTTTCATTTGGCTATTATCTATAAAATAAAATTTTCATTTTTTTTTTGTGGGAATATGCCTATAAGAGTAAGGAATTAAACATATTTTCATTTTTACTTTTCTATTTTTCAGATTGGAAGTGGACGGATTTAATTAGCTATTTGTAGATTTCCATAGTATTTTTTTCATACAAAGACGTATATGTTAAAATTTACTAATGTCTAATTGACTGTGTTGCTGGTCTTAGAAGTTAACATTTGCTGTTAAATTCAATATTTCGCATGTTCTGCTCATCTTGACGTTCTATAAACACTACCAAACAAGCACTCAGTCTGTATAGGAAATTTCATGTACCATGTGTGTTTACTAAGGTGTTCATATGCGATTGTATGATGGAAATATGTTAAATGAATTGGAAGTAGTCGATGGAATATTGTAAATTAATTGTGTGGTATATGATTTCTTTCCCTCTTTGATTTCTATTTCTCCAGTGACCAGTTATCAGAGGAGAGAGAAGGGGACATATTCTTTTCAGGATCTTGAAGAAATTCTTGTAAGTTTATTTGTATTACCTTGATCTTATATATCTCAGTTATTGGTTTCTTACCATTTGGCATATGCCAAGTATCTCTCTGTCTGATACCATGTTAGTTTTTGTTTGTGAAATTAGATGAAGGAAATCTTTTTCACTTTCATTTTCTCATGCATCCTTGGTTCGCTAGGAAATTAGGGATGAAACAGAGAATCACAGAGAGAACAAAACAGATTTCTCTTGTTCCTATTCACATCAGTATTTACTTCAAAAACTTTGTTTCTTCAAATGTAATCTGAATCCTCTGAGAACTTGAGTTTCTTTAATGTGATCACAAAATTTAATTGTCTAAATTTATTTTGAAAGCACGTTAGCATTATCTTAAAAATAACAAAGTTTGTGTATTGCACGGTCCAAAGATTAATGTCTTTTGTATTATTAAACACCTATTTTTCTCTTTAAGAAATAAATATTACCATGGTTTATTAGTGGTAATCTTATTTGGAATGTATTTTACTCTTAGTTGATCTCATTATTTTAATTATTATCACTCTGAAAAAGAAAAAGGATTAACGGCCAAAACTTTTCATAAATTTAAACTAGAAATGGATCAACGATTTTAATACAACCAGGCAGGTCGGCGGGTTTATGGACAGTTTTTTGAAATATGATTTTAAAAAAAAAAAAAATGTTTTGGAACAATAGTTGGATTACCAAATTGAACTTTTGAAAAAGTCGAACTATGTAATTGCTTTAAATTGGTATGTGGATGACCAGATTGAAAGAAAATTAATAGTTAAAATTATGAAATAGGATTTTAAAATATAGTTAGAGGACCAAGTTGAAAGATGAAATTGCATTTAAAAATGTAGTTTGTTTGCCAATTTGAACTTTTGGAAGAGCTGAAGTATGAAATTGCTTTTAATTAATAGTTAGATGATGCTATTAAACGGTTGAAGGATGCAATTGCATTTTAAAATATAGTTGGAGGATCATATTGAAGTTTGAAAAAATTGAAGGCTGAAATTGCTTTTCTTTTAAACAACAAAAGGTTAATAAGTAGTTGAAGGATGAAATTGTTATTAAAGTATAGTTAGATGACCAAATTGAAGTTTTTGAAAAATATTGAAGGGTTAAATTATTTTAAAGAATAGTTGCATGACCAAATTGAGGTTGATAAATGGTCGAAACCAAATTGGAATTCTGAAAAAGTTGGAGGACAAAATTTCTTTTAAACAACAGTTAACCAAATTGAGCTTTCTGGAAAAGTTGAAATATGAAATTGCTTTAAAATAATAGTTGGATAACAGAACTTGAAGTTAATAAATAACTAAAGGATGAAATAGGATTTTGAAATATAGTTTGGGGACCAAATGTATAAGTTTGATAATCATATTGAACTTTTGAAAACGGTGATGGATGAAATTGCTATTGAACAGTAGTTGGATGACCAAATTGAAGGTAATAAATAGTTGGAGGTTGAAATAGCACTTTAGATTATTGTTGGATGATGAAATTGAACTTATTAAAAAGATTTAAGGATGAAATTGCATCAAATGTATAGTTTGATCACTTAATTGAACTTGTGAAAAAAATTAACTAAATGGCTTTTGAATAATAATTGGATGACCAAATTAATGTTAACAAATAGTTGAAGGATTAAATGCTTGTAAATAATAGTTGGATGGCCAAATTGAACATATAGAAACTTGAAGGATGTAATCGATTTTAAATAATAGTTAGATGATCCAATTATTAGTAATGTATAGCTGGCAGACCAAATTGAAGTTAAAAAATAGTTGAAGTATGAAATTGCAATTAAAGTATAGTTGAATGACGAAATTGAAATTATGAGAAAGTTAAAGGATGGAATTGCTTTTGAGCAGAAGTTCTGAAAAGTTGAATTAAATTGCCATATAGAAATAGTCAGAAGAACAAATTGAACTTTTGGAGAAGGGGAAGGATGAAACTGTTCTTGACAAATAGTTGGTTACCCAATTGAAATTTGAAAAAGTGGTATGACCAAATTTCTGGGTGACCAAATTGATCTTTTAGAAAGGTTTAGTATGAAATTGCATTTAATAAATAGTTGGATACCAAATTGATCTTTTCAAAAGATTGAGGGATATAGTTACTCTTTAGTAATATTTTAGTGACGAAATTGAAGTTTTGAAAAGTTAAAGGATGCAACTACAAGGAAATAATAGTTGGATGCTCTAATCGAACTTTTACAGAACATGAATGATGAAATTGCTTTAACAAAATAGTTTGATGACCAAATTGACTTTTTGGAGAAGATTAAGGACACAGATGCTTGTACAGAATAGATGAATGATGAAATTGAACTTTTGAAAAACTTGAAGTACGAAATTATTATTATGAAATAGATGGATTAAATTGAACTTTTGTTTTAGTTAAGGATGAAATTGCTATAATGTTATAGTAGGATGACCAAGTCAAACTTTTTTCAAACGTTTGATGACCAAAATGCTTTTGCAAAATAGTTCGGTGAGCGAATTGATCATTTCAAAAAGCTGAAGGATGTAATTGCTTTTCATATATAGCCCCCGTTTGGTTCCATTTTTTCTTCATTAAAATGAAAATATGATCGTTATCCATCACATCAAGCTATCAAATTTAAATTTCTATTTCTTGTATGGGGCTCGTAATGATTATATTTTTCATTTTAATTCTTCCAAAAATGAGAAACAAACGGGGGGCATATATTGATAATCAAATTGAACTTATGAAACAGTTCAAGGATGAATTTGCTTTTATATAGTAATTGGAAGTCCAAATTGAACTTATTAAGAAGTGCAAGGATGAACGTGCTTTTAAATAATAACTGGAAGACCAAATTGAACGTTTAAAAAGATAACGGATGAAATTGTGTTTAATACATATTGGATTACCAAATTGAACTTTTAGAAAAAAAATTGGTCATCCAAACGTAGGTTTTAAGGTTTAGGGTTTCCTTCAACTTTACTAAATTGCAATTTGGCAATCCACCAATTACCCAAAACCAATTTCATGCTTCAGCTTATTGAAAAGTTAAATTTGGTCATCTTGTTGTTGTTCAAAATCTGTTTTTTCATCCTTCAACTTTTGTAATAGTTCAATTTCACAATACAATTATTATTTAATAGCATTTTCATCCTTTATCTTTTTCAAAAGTTCAATTTGGTCTTCCAGCTATTATTTAAAATCTTTATCATCCTTCTACTTTTTCAAATCTTCAATTTGGTAATAAACTATTGCTCAAGAACAATTTCATCCCCCACCTTTCCAAAAGTTCAGTTTAGTAAACCAACTACTCTACTTAAGAGCAATTTCATCCTCTAACTTTTTCAGAAGTTCAATTTGGGCATCCAACTATACTTCAATAGCAATTTCATACTTTAATTTCGTCATCAATCTGTTATTTAAAACCAAATTCACCCTTCAACTATTTCCAAACTACAATTTGGTCATCCACTATTCCTTAATTGCAATTAAGTCATCCATCTATTCTTTAAAATTGATTTCATCTTACTACTTTTTCAAGAGTTTAATTTGGTCACCAACCTACAGATTAAATGCAATTTCCCCCTTTAACTACTTATTAACTTCAATTTGTTCATCCGTCTTATCATTTAAAAGCAACTTTTTCTTTCAAAATTTTCAAAAGCTCAATTTGGTAATCCAACTATTGTTTAACTTCAAATTATCCTTCAAGCTTTCCAAAACTTCAATTCAGTAATCCAACTATTGTTTAGAAGCAATTTAATCCTTCAACTTTTTCATGAGTCCAATTTGGTCATCCAAATATAGTCTAAAATGCTATTTCATCCTTCAAATATTTATTAACTTCAATTTGGCCATCCAACTATTATTCAAAAGCAATTTCCTCCTTGAACTTTTTCAAAAGATTGTGCATATCACAACAAAACTGCATTCTGGAGTGTCATGAAACGCGAAACTAAATTACTTACAAGAATGAATGCTTTAATCTTAAAGGGAAAGATGGAACTCATCAACTCATTGTGTACGAAAATCAAACGAATGAGCACTGACAAAGAGAGAACACACAAAAATAGCTTTGAAAAGTCGATTAAAAGAGGCATGTCCAACGATTCATGAAATACCTTTTTTGGTACAATTCAGGTAAGGTTTGCCAGTTACACGTACAAGCTCAGGAACTTCACGAGTTATTCTATTATCAACCAAATAAAGTGGCTTCATAATGTAGGTTTAATTCCTAAAAGCAGCTTACAAATTGAACTGCATGAATACTTCATTCGGACTTTTGATGATCGGATCCCACCTTTTCAGATTTCTGCAGAAAATTGATCACGAATCAGACAGCTATTTGCCAAGAGTAACACCGCTCACAATATGCAGCTACAGCATTAAAAAATATATGACTCAAGGCGGTACAGCAAACCTGAGAGCAAAAAAATAGACAACTACACAAAGAAATGTGTAAAAAGGAGAGAAATACGAAAGCACAAGATAGATATACTGGCCAAACTTCAAAAAACATGCACATTAACCATGAGCATCTTAGAAATGGAAGACAGCTTGGGTTCTGCCTCTCTCAAAGTCGAACCTTCATTAGTATCTCATGATAGATTTGCTATAGTTCCTCTCTCAAAAGTTTCACGAGGAAACAACATATCAGTAGAACTGTCCCTGTATATTCTACAGTCAGTAATCTCACTTTTTTTGGCTTGATGTCCTTCCCTAAACTATTGACACCAGAATGATTTATCTCAGCAGAACCATTACACTTCTGGACTCAGAATGAAGCCTTGCCTCTTAAAGGTTACTGATTTGAAAGGTTGTTCATACACCAAGTATGTAGATTTTTTGACCGCTTCAGTTGCCCTGATGCATTTCTCCTTTGCCAGGGCTTTGAAGATAACTTCTTTAACATCACCAAGTTCAATCAATTTCTCATAGAACTCTACTCAAGCCACTTAAAAATCCCAGTTGAAACATCCCTACATCTTTCTTTCAATTTCTTGGAAAATGCCCTTTGTTCATGTGCAACAATATCTCTTAATAAGATTGACTTTTTAAGATCGAACATCAAGTCTTAATGTATCAAAGCCATATTTTGAGCTAAAACAAGCAATCGAATTCCAAAATTAGTTTCTTAAATGAATAACCATTTCCAAGAGGCAAGCTATGGTAAAAACCCACATCCGTTAATAAGAAAGTTATAACTAATAAAAAATGACCTGGTCTCTCATCTTAATAAAATTAAACTTTTAAGATAGAAACTAACAACCATTTTAAGTTAGCTTTTAACACTAAAGCTTTCAAAAACTCATCCTTTTAGTATAAATTAATTTATGGTTTCAACATAAGACATTTAAAAATTGATAGCTTCAACCATATTCAAATTAGAAAGAAATTTTGCATTTGCTAGACCATCTAAGCCTGTTATGAAATGTACGCCTCAAAACAATGGACAGTTCCAAATCAAAGATGCTAAATCCTCAAGCATGATATCCTTCACAGGGGCGGAGCAGAGTCCAGTGCAGGAATCTGCCTGCCTGCACTGAGCTTGGGGCCCAGAACCAGTCCTCTTTTTCTTTTTCTTTTTTCAGTGGAATTTTGTTATTGGCTTTAACATTGGTATAACATCAATTGTGTGTGTGCGCTAATGACCAGACTCTGGTATTGTGTTCTGAGTATTCTGACCAAGTTTTACAGTTGTAGTCTGGCTGCTAGAGTTATTCTCATGAATGATGCGTGTGCTGGGTGGGGTTGAAACAATCAGGATCATCACTCTTTCATGCCATCATGGTAAAGTTGATTTGAGTTGTTTGCCATCTGTTTACATCAGGCTATGATTTACATTCTCTCTTCGTAGCAAATCGTGATTTACAATATTAGGTTCAATATTTGTAAAATTGCATCAGATGTCCATATGATTGTTATGCATCAGCATTTTATGTGCAGCTTCTTTCTTGGTTTTCCAAGACCAGAATCCTATAATTTCAGTTAAGTGTTTATGCAGAGCTCTAGTTTCTGATATTATGTTCTGTTCTGACCTGATTTTATAGTTTTACTCTGGAGTTGATGCTTATGATTTCACACGTCGGGGAGCGGTTAGGGTGTTTGATCTAATCAAGAGCATCAATATTTCTTTCCAGCACAAAAATTTGATGAACCAAAAGTATCCATTTACCATGTTGGACTTTGGCATGTAGTAAAATCCATCATTACTGAAGTTTTCAAGTATTGATCTTCAATTAGGGTTCATAAAGCCCTCTGCAGATGAGGATTAGATTATATGAATGGTGGAAGATAAAGAACTTTGAATCAGCATTATAGTTTTTATTTAGCATTAAAAAGTAGCGCTGGAGTGTTAGATTAATCAGATTTTTCTTTCAACTATATTTTGTTCTTCTCTGACATATTTTCAACCTTGTGGGCAGTAGTTAAATTCCCTGTTGTGTAATCTTGTACAATTTAGTTTCCTGAAAAGGAAGCAATTGTACTTTTTTGGTTACTTCTGATCCAAAGCACCCCTTTTCCATTCATAGAAAGATCTGATTACCCAAATCAATAAAAAGGGTGTTTTTCTTTCCTTCCAAATCAAGGAAAGGAATCAAAAGTTAATCCAAAACAAAAGGAATCTGAAGTGGGACCAGAAGCAAGCAATCCTGGATAAATACAGCTTTTGCAACTACATTTCTTGGATTCAGTGTTGGCATTCTATCATTTCAATTCAATGTTATTACTGATAAGTTGTTTCTTATATTCATGTTTGGCCCAGGTTTTACAGTTGTATTTTGGAGTTAGGTTCATGATTTGTGTGCATACTGGGTGGTGCTGATCCACTCAAGGTCCGTTCTTGATTAAATTCCCCCGCATTGAACAATATTTGGTTCCGCCCCTGATCCTTCATTGTATTTATCTTTATTGTCCCCTCGCTTTTCGCCTATATTAACCCATTAGGTGGACTAAATCTCGTCTCTATAATGTCATTCAATGATTATAATTTTAGCATCAGAGGAATCTGTAAAACCTCAACATGTCACCACTTGCAATTACCTCACAAAAACTTTAGTCTTCCACAATATATTCATCTAACCGAAAAGAAACCACTAATTAAACGCAAATAGGGTTCTGTCAATACAACAAATCACATACATATAGAGAGAGCAAGCAGATAGGATTTTACCGATTGGGCAGAGTGCCAGGAGAGGCCGCGGTAGACGTTGACGGAGAAAGTGGCGGTGAGATAAATGGTGGCCACACCGAGACCCGCCGTGAACGCCTTGAATGCCCAGTCCCCTACTTTGCCCGCCGGTGCCATTCTATTCTTCTTTGTCGCGTGATATCACACACACTCTCTCTCTCTCTCTCTACTTTGCGCAATTACTCACCACAGGTTCCTCCAGTTACTGCTTTAGACTTCACAAATGTGCAGTTCGAGTTTACCTTGCAGCTTCATCGAGGGTTTATGAAGCATTTTGATAATTATTTACCAATACGAGGGACAAATAAGATTTTCACTCAATTTTTGTCATTGTTATTGAGGATAAGATATATTAATTAATAAACGTTGAAAAAATAGGACAAAAAATTTAAAAACGCAAGTGTTAAAATGAACAAAAATTTAAAAAGAAAAAGAAAAAAAGAAAAAAAAAAGTCATTACAGTTAAATAGTGATCTGTTTAAGCTTTTGATAGTCAATCATTCTACCACATTATTTCTTCTACAGTACTCATTTTCAATTATGCATTCTTTGTTAAATTAATATTACACATAAATAAAAAAAATTCCTCATTTTTTAATCACAAATTTCATCATCAATCACTATCACATAATACATTTTTTTGAAATTAAAGGGGCACAAACAAGCCCTAACTACTTTAGATTGAAATTTGCAAGGTGATTTTCAATGAGTTAATTAATGGAATTGCACTTAATCATAGTATTGCTACTATTTAATATTTGAAATTCAAAACGTAATTCAATGATAAATTGATAATGAACATTAATACAAGTTACCAGTGCATAACTGAGATGGATTCTATTACATGACTTTGACGGAGTTGTTGATGTAGCAGAT